TAGTGTGTCAAGTGTGTGTGGTAGTGAATGTCAAGTGTGTGTGGTAGTGAGTGTCAAGTGTGTGTGGTAGTGTGTCAAGTGTGTGTGTGGTAGTGAGTGTCAAGTGTGTGTAAGTGTGTCAAGTGTGTAGTGAGTGTCAGTGTGTGTGGTAGTGTGTCAAGTGTGTGTAATGTCAAGTGTGTGTGGTAGTGAGTGTCAAGTGTGTGTGGTAGTGTGTCAAGTGTGTGTGGTAGTGAATGTCAAGTGTGTGTGGTAGTGTGTGTGGTAGTGATGTCAAGTGTGTGTGCTGTGTGTGTGTCACGTGTGTGTGGTAGTGAATGTCAAGTGTGTGTGGTAGTGAGTGTTACGTGTGGTAGTGAGTGTCAAGTGTGAGTGGTAGTGAGTGTCTGTGTGTGGCAGTGAGTGTCAAGTGAGTGTGGTAGTGAGTGTTACAGTGGTAGTGAGCGTTAAGTGAGTGTGAGCGTTAAGTGAGTGTGGTAGTGAGTGTCTAGTGTGTGTGGTAGTGAGTGTCAAGTGAGTGTGGTAGTGAGTGTTATGTGTAGTGAGCGTTAAGTGAGTGTGTGAGTAGTGAGCGTTAAGTGAGTGTAGTGAGTGTCTAGTGAGTGTGGTAGTGAGTGTTAGTGAGTGTGGTAGTGAGTGTTACGTGTGGTAGTGAGCGTTAAGTGAGTGTGGTAGTGCGTTAAGTGAGTGTGGTAGTGAGTGTCAAGTGAGTGTGGTAGTGAGTGTCGAGTGTGTGTGGTAGTGAGTGTTAAGTGAGTGTGGTAGTGAGTGTTAAGTGAGTGTGGTAGTGAGTGTCAGTGTGTGTGGTAGTGAGTGTTAAGTGAGTGTGGTAGTGAGTGTCAAGTGAGTGTGGTAGTGAGTGTCGAGTGTGTGTGTAGTGAGTGTCTAGTGTGTGTGGTAGTGAGTGTTAAGTGAGTGTGGTAGTGAGCAGTGTAGTGAATGTGATAGTGAGTGTTAAGTGAGTGTGGTAGTGGTGTGGTAGTGAGTGTGTGAGTGTGGTAGTGAGTGTTACGTGTGGTAGTGAGTGTTAAGTGAGTGTGGTAGTGAGTGTTAGTGTGGTAGTGAGTGTTAAGTGAGTGTGGTAGTGAGTGTTACGTGTGGTAGTGAGTGTTAAGTGAGTGTGGTAGTGAGTGTGTGGTAGTGAGTGTTATGAGTGTAGTAGTGAGTGTGTGTAGTAGTGAGTGTTATGAGTGTGGTAGTGAGTGTTATGTGTGTAGTGAGCGTTAAGTGAGTGTGGTAGTGAGGTGTGTGTAGTGAGCGTGTGAGTGTGGTAGTGAGTGTTAAGTGAGTGTGGTAGTGTGTTGGTGTGGTAGTGAGCGTTAAGTGAGTGTGGTAGTGCGCGTTAAGTGAGTGTGGTAGTGAGTGTCAAGTGAGTGTGGTAGTGAGTGTAGTGTAGTGAGTGTTAAGTGTGTGGTAGTGAGTGTTAAGTGAGTGTGGTAGTGAGTGTTACGTGTGGTAGTGAGTGTTAGTGAGTGTGGTAAGTGTGATGTGAGTGTTAAGTGAGTGAGTGTAGTGTGGTAGTGAGTGTTAGTGTGGTAGTGAGTGTTACGTGTGGTAGTGAGTGTTAAGTGAGTGTGGTAGTGAGTGTTACGTGTGGTAGTGAGTGTTAAGTGAGTGTGGTAGTGAGTGTTACGTGTGGTAGTGAGTGTTAAGTGAGTGTAGTAGTGAGTGTTACGTGTAGTAGTGAGTGTTAAGTGAGTGTGGTAGTGAGTGTTATGTGTGGTAGTGAGTGTTAAGTGAGTGTGGTAGTGAGTGTTATGTGTGGTAGTGAGTGTTAATTGAGTGTGGTAGTGAGTGTTACGTGTGGTAGTGAGTGTTAAGTGAGTGTGGTAGTGAGTGTTGCGTGTGGTAGTGAGTGTCAAGTGTGTGTTCCTCAAACTCTTATTATTGTGTTCCTCTAAGTCTTACTTTTCCTTTACTTACAGGTATATCCTTTTCACCACTGATCGGCTCGTTAGCCTCTTGGACGATCGGTCACATCTCGGTTACGCACTGTTGGCAAGTACTGGGCATGCACCGGCTCCTGAATTTATCTGAACCTGCTCCAGTGTTGGTCAGGTCATGTCTTGAAAGAGCTCTCACTCGGTGCCGTCACAACACACTCTGGCAGATTGTTCCAAGAGTTCATAACTCTCACTCTGAAAAAGTTTGCCCTTACAGCTTTCTGTTTCTTTTGGCTTCTTCAACCTTGTGGGGCGGGTGTCCGCCAGCTCTAGGTAAGGACATTCGACTGATTAATGCCCTCTGAGATGTTTATAGACCTCAATTAAGTTACCTCTTGCCCGTCTGTAGTATAACCTAAGCAGTTGCAGGCGTTGTAACCCCTCTGGAAAGCGAAGGTGTCGAAGTGCAGGCACCAGTCTGGTGGCCCTCCATTGGACATTTTCAATCAACTAACAGTCCCTAGCATATCTCGGGGAAGCACCTTACTCTTGAAGATCGTTATGTGAACGACTTTTTTTATAAGACCTACTCGCTTACTGTAGTTGCTTAATTCACCTTCTTCTCACAATGGCCCGAAAACTTCAGTTCATTATCAACATACACACCTAGGTCCTTTTCACATTCGGTCTCTATTAATGCTGCTACTTTGTCCCGTTGGGACATGAAATACGCCTCCTTACCGTTGGTACGACTCAGGTGTATCCTCTTACACTTTGTGACATTGAATCTTAGCAGCCATTTCTCCGACCACTCTTGAACCTTACAGAGATCTTTTTGCAGCTCCACACAGTCTGTTTGGTTCTTAATTTCCCTGAATAACTTGGCATCGTTCACAAACACTTGTATGGAAGTGTATAGCTTCTGGCATGTCATTTATGAAACAAACAACCAGCAACGGGTCCTATACACTGCCCTATGGTACCCCGCTTGTGACGGATACACATAATAATTTCGTATCATTAATCACCACACACTTCTTGCGATCATGCCGAAGGTCTCCGATCCACGCTAGGCCACTTCCTCGAATCCCGTACTCTTCCAGTTTAATTATCAGCCTTTCATTGGGTACGCTGTCGAAAGCCTTGGTAAAATCTTCGTAAATGTTTCCGATATTGCCGCCCTGTTCTAGAATTTTGGGCAAAACATCCGGTACCTTGAGTAACTGTATTAAGCAAGAGCGTTATTGTTGTGTTCCTCTAACTCTTTTTGTTGTGTTGTTCTTAACTCCATTCTTCCTGTTGTAGAATTCCTTTGGTTTCTTTTTTTTTTTTTCTTTTCTTCTACCTTTGTAATTCACTTTCTGAGTCACTTTACTTCTTTGTGCCACGTTTTGACTCGCGATATATTTACCTCACATTTCACACCCATATCGTTTTTTCTATCAATGCAGATCTGTGCAGCATATCTGAATCGGGAGGTAGAAATATTTTCAAATTCAATTATAATAAAACACAGTATTTACCTATTACAATTTCCAAAATAGAAGATTTCCCACCAATCACATATCAGGATGCAACCATTTTGCCAAATTCTAAGATAGATTTGCTAGGCCTCACCATTTCCTCTAATATGTCATGGAAGCCACACATCTACAACATAGCTAAAGCTGCCTCCCGAAAGCTGGGAATGTTGACAGATACCGTAGCTACTTTACTCCTGAGCAGTTGCTTCAGGTTTATAAGACATACATTCGTCCTAATTTGGAGTACTGTTCTCATATCTGGAGTGGTTCTTCTTCTGTCCAACTATTAGATGTAGGTTGAACTCAAAGGCATTGCGTCTTATCAACTCTCCTCCTTTAGTCAATAATATCTCTTCCCTTTCTTTTTGCTGCTGCGTTGCTTCACTCTCTCCATTTTACAGGTACTTTAACGGGCAATGTTCTGTGGATTTGGCATCCTGTGTACTGCCGGCAAGGCTGTGGGTTCGTAACACTCGTCTTGCCCGCGGTGCCCATCTTTTCTGTGTGGATATCGGTCACGCTAGAATAACCCTTCATAGTACATCCTTCTTTCCTCACAGAGCCAAACGGTGAAATGCTTTGCCTTCTTCTGCGTTTTCATTCTCATACACTCTGTCTCACTTCAAAAAGCTGGTTTTCCGGCATCTTCGTTGTGTAGATTACCATACTTTTTCTCCTATAATATTTAACTCCCTCTCTCTCTTTTTAGTCCCCCCCGCCCCTCCCCTCAGGCACCGTTGTGGTTCGATGACCTGTGCCCTGGTAGGCTATTCCCCCATAAAAAAAGAAAAGAAAAAAATATCCCAGCGCCGCCTGTGTTGAACCCACAGGAATCCATATACAGATACCCAACCCCGCCCCTCACCCAACCTCTGCAGTAGCACGACGCACCTCGACCGCCCATCCAGTATGTGGGACGGGGAGGGCGACGGGCGGTGTACCAGTGCAATAGCACCCGCGATAACCACACTGAGTAGAGAAGGGCCGCAAGTTACAGCTCCACTTAAGCATGTGGTGCTCCCCTTCCCATTTCCGAGGCTGCCTATTTCACTACTACCTCTCCCCCCTTCCTCACCCTTCCTAATATTAATCCTGTAGCAAGACATTTGGTAAGTTTGCTTGATAATAAAGTTAGAATGAGGAGGCAGCGAGGGCAAGAGCGAGATGGGCGTCGCAGTGTATCTATTGGATTTCCGGTGCCTGGGCCGATACTTCTTCCAGTCTTCACAATGTTTAGCTCACTACTCGTCACTTAATCAATGTTTCTAGAGGCGGAACATAGAGAAACACTGTTGATTTATTCTGCACAAGCGTCACCGCCCAGATCATTGCTGTGGGGTCAACTTGATGATGCCAAGGATCTCTAACACCTACATACTTAAATAACCATTATTGTAAGTTCCGCAGGTAATTTGATGCCGCAAAATCATTAAATAATATTAAAAATCCTCAAATAGTACCCTGATTAAAGAATTTCTAGACACGCTACTGAGAGAGTCGAATTGAGGTCATGCGTCACGTGACGAAAAGTGAGGCAGCAGATTTACCGACTGCTGATGGAGGCAGGACAACGGGAAGTAGCTTTAGCCGCGTTCTGACCCTCGAAGAGTGCACAACTCCCCAGTATTCTCCTGCAGTACAGTACATCATACAAATAACTAAGTCGTGTTAAACTTCGTGATATGTTACACTTGTAACATTAATAACAGTGTTGGTGTATAAGCCGAAGAGGGCCACGTCCCTGTAGAGGCCCTCAAGATGATGGTGTTGCCCGCCTGGAGGACTTCCTCTGTCCTCTTGGTTTCCTTGCCTCTCGTATTACTTCTGGTGGCCGCCTCCCACGGAGGCAAGTCAAAGGCCTTCCTCAGAAATAACAACTATAACCCGCAGGATCAGTGAGTAACTTTCCTTAAGAACATGTTATTCCTTACTCAGGAAGAATCCTTCCTATTTAGCTGCTAAAAAATACTCATGAAAAAAAAAGAAGTTAAATAAACTATATAAAAAATAAACACATGGTGAATGAGGTTCTTGTAGTTATGATGAATATCCGGAAGCTGGTAAATGGTATAATTTAGAGATGGAATTTGTAATATCTTAAACATTAAAAAATAAGAAGCGTTGAGTACAGTATATAACAGCACCCGGTTAGAGATAATGCAAGAAGCTGAAGTGTATAATTATTACCTTGTTTAATTCTGTATCATGATTTGGTTGTGAGTGTAGTCGATCCATTAATGAATAAACACGCAACACTGGTGGTAAATGAAAGAATAGTAGAAAAAGAAATTGCCTGAACGCAACATTGAGAAACCAAGTGAGAGTCGTCTGTAAGAGGAGTTTGTCGTGGAAGAACAAATGACTTTGTTTATGATATTCTCTGGCTGACTTGAGTTCTTGTACACTTAATTGGATTTGTGTAAATTAATCAGAAGTTGGTTAGGTTGACCAATTGCTTATCACTTACCTAAAGTCGAGCCACGTCAGCCTTCTCTTGTACTAAAACGCAAGTGAAACTACTATTTCTGAGAGTCAATTCTTCATCATCTATTCTTACATAGTAAAAATATCGCTTGAAGAACACTTAAGATGAAAACACTTTAACCGCAGCCCTGGAGGAGTCATTCAAGAAAGTAATCAGGTCTACCAAAATAGACCATTATATCACCCCAATTTTTTTGTTTTTTTGTAAAGATCGACATCAACAAATCCTCATGATTTTTTATAAGATCATCAGCCGTATGTTTACCGTTACCACCATTCCCCAACTTAAGACAGATCCCTCCAATAGTCCACTTGTCATGTTGGTTCTACACAGTGATTAGTGTGATATGGGAATTACCTCCTCCATTGTATGTTATATTGCCAGTGGTTTCTCACGTGATACTTTTGGTTCCCTCAACAACAGCTCTAGAGATTACTGTACAGGACCGATAGGAGTACCGTCCTCATACTTGAGGGTTGGCGACCACAGTCCTCCATTCTAAACGTTCTCCAGCTGCTTTTACCAGACCTCTAAGGTTTTGTATCTCATTCATCTAGCCCGGTCTCTGCCTTCCTTTGGCCTCATCTTTGTCCATTAATATTTCTCTATTATCCTCTAATCCCTAACTATGTGACCAAAGTATATCTATTTTTTGGGGTACTTCATTTATTTCTCTTGGAGTTTTTGATAATCTTAGTGCTTCTTCATTTGTTTTCCTGTTCGTTTAGTTTATTATTAGCATTCGTCTATAACACCACAAAATTTTTCGAAGGCCTCCAACCTCTTTCTGGTGTCTGCTGAAAGTGTTCACACATCTGACCCATACAACAGTTCTGGCCATATACTCGTATAGCCTTTCAGCAGCTTTCATCTCAAACTGCAGTTAATGTCCCTTTTCATTAAGTCTTTTAGTATATTAACTGTTGTTTTTGCTTGCCCTAGTCTTGTTTTTATTTCTTCTGTACATCTGCCGTCACGATTAATATTACTTCCCAAATATACACAAAATTAACCACTTATTTAAGATTCCTGTTGACTATCATAATATTTTATTTATAATTTATTCCCCATTACTTTCGTCTTTACAGCATCAACTCTTCAACCAAATATTCACCCTTTTCTACTAATTTGTTAATCATTTTTTGTAATGCCTCTTCACTATCCATGATAAGAGTAGTATCATCTGCATAACGTACTTACATTTGATATTACTTTACCATTAACTTTTAGTCCTTCATTATCAGTTATAACTTCTCTCGTTAAAAATTCTCGATATACATTATACAATGTTGGAGACAGAACACAGCCTTGTCTTACTCCATGACTAACTGTGAGCCAATTATAGTAAGTTCATTATTTACTAACACTGCAGCCTCCTGTTGCCAGTATAAAGATTCTTTAAAATCCTAAGATCTTCTTCATTAATGACTATTTTTTCCAAGATCTCTATAAATTTATTGTGCTGTACCTTATTAAAAACTGTTTTCAAAATCAACAAATCAGATACACAAATTTCTTAAGAACTCTAAAGCCCATTCACTAAAAATTCTCAAACCAAATACAGTAAAGCTTCTCTTGTTCTTATTCCCTTTCTAAATCCATTTTGCACTTAGATTACCCACTTTATATTCTAGCTGTATTGTTCTTAAAATTATGTTTAATAAAACTTTGCAGGTATTACTTATTAAGCTTATTGTTCTAAGCTGGGAGCACGGTAAGGCACGCTTTTTAGGTAAAAATACAAGTATTGATTTTTTAAATCACTGGAAAGGTCTCCTTCGAAGTATAATATATAGAATTACATATCTTAGTCAAACCTTTCATCCCATTCTTGCCCGATTGTTTTATAAATTATGCTGGAGTCTAATCAACCCTACAAGCTTTATTGTTGTTCATTTTGCTCACAACTACCTCCACTTCTGTTTCCGTAATTGACATTTCGATCTTTATTTCCTTATTGTTTCTTAACTCTACTTTATCATTATCATTGTACAGTTCTTCGCCGTACTCTGCCCATCTCTCTTTTATTTCTCCCTAAAACAAGGTCTTATTGCATATGCATTTAATAGTACCAGGCAATTTATTTAAATTTTACTGGTTCATTTATTTAATCTTTTTGTACATTTACCCATAATAATGCCATCTGTCATCATCTTCAATCTCCATGCAATTCCTTTCTAAATCATCTCTCTTGGCTTGTCAGCATTCCCTTTGAATTTCTTTGTTAATTTTCAGATAATCCTCACTTTGTTTTCTTACACTCCTTCGTCTGTCTATTTGCTTTAAAATTTCATTTGTCTTCCACTTACTTTTAGCCTCGTTCCTCCTATGTCCTACTTTTACTTTTATCCATTTCGCCACTGATTGGCTCGTTTGCCGCTTGGGCGGTCGGTCACGTCTCTGTTACGCACCGTTGGCAAGTACTGGGCATATACTGGCTCCTGAATGTATCTGTACCTGCTCCAGTACTGTTCAAGTCTGGTCTTGAAACAGCTTACACTCGGTGCCGTCGCAACACTCTCTGGCAGATTGTTCCAAAAGTTCATAATTCCCACTCTGAAAAATTCTGCCCTCACAGTTTTCTGGACGTGTGGCTTCTTCAAGTCCAGGTATGGACACTCGACTGAGTAGTGCCCTTTAAGATGTTTGTACATCCTAATTAAATCACCCCTTGCCAGTCTATAGTATAAGCTCGGCAGTTGCAGGCGCTCTAACCTAACCTGGGGTTTAAGGGCTAATGTCTCTGGAGGTGCCGCAGTGCAGGAACCAGTCTGGTGGCCTTCCCCAGTGTCTAAAACATTTCACTTTTTCACATATCCGTTGAGACATTGTTACATAACTATTTGACATATTTCATAACCGAATGACAGACAGAACACATATCGAATGACAATCTAAAATAACTGTTCCTTCATGCTAACGGAAATGATTGACATAAGTTATGAAGTTGACAGACGTGAACAATAAACCGACAGTCTACATATAGTTTGAGAATGTAACAATTGGAGAATGACATACCACCAACAGTTATTTTAGATTGTCACTCGATATGTGTTCTGTCTGTCGTTCGGTTATGAAATTTGTCAAATAGTTATGTAACAATGTCTCAACGGATATGTGAAAAGGTGTACTTCTTTGTAATTATTAAATTCTTGTCCTGGTCCTTGTTCATCAAGTCACCCTCTAGCAAAAATTAAAATGTATTTTCAGTTTCAATTTCATATTCTATTCCTTCCTTAAATCCCATTCGATTTTCTCCATAGTTTTTCTTTTTAGTTTTTAACTTTAAGCCTCACTAAACTCATAACGGCCCCTGGATAGGTCTTGTTTCGGGTTATTAACTTGTTGAATCTCTTCTGAATTAAAATATAATCTATTTGACTCCTGACTATGTAATTTACATTGTCCTGGCGTGAGACCCATGTATAGAGATGCCCAGGGTGTTGTTCAAACCAGGTCTTTGCAATTATCATCTTGTTTTCCTTGCAGAAATCAGTAAACATTTTTCTCTCCCATTTTTATTACCCAACCCATGTGGTCCTACTTCTGGTGCTTCTTTCTTTTTCCCAACTTTTGCTTTAAAATCATCCATTATAATCTGACATGGAATTGAATTGAATTGAAACAGTTTATTTAGCCAGAAAAACACAGATACAGAGTGGATAATAATAACGATATTAACATGGCTGAGCCAGTTGAGAACCTGAGCTCTCTTTTAGGCACCTGATATATACTGTACATTTATCTCAAGGAAGTATTATGTATCATTTAGTAACATCTGGAATAGTACAATAGCATGGTGGTAATAAGAACATCTCATAATGTTACCACGGTTATCACTTCAATATTTATTTATTTTATTAATTTGTTTTATTTTTTGTTTATTTTTTTATTTATATTATAAGTATATACATAAATTACGGTGGAATTTAAAAAAAAACCATAAGTATAATGAGGGAGCAGCACAACATGGGTTGTACAGTAATAAGGTTAAACAAGAGGAGAGAGCTGTCAGGATTATGTCTAGTTGACAATTATGTTTATTGCAATCGTAATTTCTTATCTATTTACATGATAATTTCCGATAAAACGGTTTTGATGGTACAATAAAAGCAGGTACTGTAAATATAGTAGGTGTTACAAGAAATATTATTACTTAGACAATAGATATATTTTAAGAGATGATTTAAAGGAAGGGAGCGTAGTTTTTGCTCGGATTGGCGGGGGTCAAATTCAAATTCAAAACATTTATTGACAATTACATCAAAAGGAGCTGGTTAGCATGCTAACTAGTCCGCCCAAAACTAGTCTTAACATGAGCTCTTTAATATTCTAATAATCATAAATCAGATATGTATACAACAAATAGATATGCATAAAATCTTCCATCTTATGTTAAACTTGCAGAAT